GGAGGCTGGGCATCCTGGCCCAGGACCGGTTCTGGCCCCCGTGGGTCCTCTTTTCTTGGAAGCGGCAGCATTCTCGCCCACTCGGCCGAGGAGCTGGCTAGGGAGGGTGGAGGCAGGCCCAGGAAGACCTGGTCGCCTGAGCCTCGCCTGCCCGTCAGGAGAGACAACAGCCTCACTCCTGACCTTGGCGCTGTCCCCCTTTCCAGCACTCACGAAGCTTGAGACAGGAGGGGCCTTCCTCGTGGGTCCCCTTGTGATGCCAGGGCGAGTTTCTGATCAGCAGCTGAGCACTCCTAGCGCGGGGGCCAGGGGCCTTTCAAAGAGGCCCACCGAAAAGCAGGGACGGAGGACGCCTTTAGTCGAGCTCAGAAGACACAGGCCATTCCACTCGATGGCGGGGTGGGGGTGGGGGTGCGGGCGGGGGTGGCCCATCATCCTCACAGGTAACAACCACGAGAACCTTTGCTAAGGAACACACAAGAGCCAACCACAAAACGTTCCCCACAAAGCAAACAGCACAACTTACCACTTTTCCATCAGTGCTGTATTGAGGATCCTTTCCTTGCACACGAAGCAGCCGTGCCACGTGTGTAACACGCACCCTTCATGGGCCGAGGGACGCTTTTACGACAGAGCAAGAGTCATCTGCGAGGACGGATGGGTGCTCTGTTTCTCAGGCGGATGTCCCCGTCACCGTGAGCGGGGCCGTCCGTGGCTGGCCACTCCCTCCCGGGCCTTCCCGCAGTGCCCACGCCCAGCCTTCCCACAACATCCCCTGGACGCTGTTCAAACACTCTCTGACTTTCGACCAGAACAAAGAGCGGGGGAGACACTAACCGGTTCTCTTAAAATGTATTTTTTTTTATAAGATTTTATTTATTTATTTCAAGAGAGAGACACAGAGGGAACACAAGCAGGGGCAGAGGGAGAAGCAGGCTCCCCGTGGAGCGTGGAGCCCGACATGGGGCTCGATCCCAGGACACTGGGATTATGACCCGAGCCAAAGGCAGACGCATCATGACTGAGCCACCCAGGCGCCCAAAAACGTATTTCTTTGTGCAATCCAAATTAGTCGCGGTGCAAAGGCCTTTATGGCACCTTTCCCTGTCTCCTGAAGCTCAGAGTCCTCGAGCCCGTCGAGGAGCCCAGACGGGCAGCTCCCAAGGAAAGTCCCGCCGGCCCGTCCCCCGCACGGGAGCGGAGAAATCCGTGCCCACGAACAGCACGCAGCGGCAGCGCTCTCCGCGGCAGGGCCCAGCCAGACCAGAGCTG